TGCAGCAAGGATTTGATCTTTCTCCAGAACATTTTACAGTCGTTTGACTGTACAGCAGATTCAATCTCGTGTACGACGGACATTTTAAAAGATTTTTTTATTTTCCTAGCACAAATAATCGTATATGTTCTTTGCCACATGTAATTCTCTAAATTTTCTCCAGATCTGTAGTTCCCTAGAAAATCTAAACATATATTTCTTTCTCTTGGCACATAAACATTCAGCGTCAAACCATGGAGGTTATCTTACTCTATCATATGATTTATTTCTATTTATAACTTTAACGTTATCGCCAGCATATTGGAATAATTCGACTATTTTAGCAGTCGCTGCATATACATTCGTAAGTACAACATCCAAAAAATCATTAACTACATGACTGCCCTTATCAGAGTTTAATCGACTTTTAATCTCATCATTTCCGTAATCATACCATTTGAACTTGAGTATTGTTTCGGAATCAAGATCAGTCTGCCTGTGATATGGCGCACTATGGTAAATACATGGAAGTTTTAGTTGACATGAAACTGGTAGATGGTCAGAATCCGGTCTAGAGTGAACAGCAAGATCTATGATATATTGGAACATGTTTGATGATGCGATAAAGTAGTCTACCAAGCTAGTACTGTGGCAAAAAAACTGTATCGTAAGCGACATGATGGAATGGCTCGATCATTTTATTACCGTCTTCGCCATGTTTGGTAAATCCATGATACGACCCAGAATACGTAGAGGGCGTTATGGAAAATGATAATTACAAAATGTTTTGGAACAGGCCAATTTACAGCCTCAGACGTATCCAGGCCAACAAACCTGATCTTGTCCTATTTGATAAATCTAATGAAATCATTTATATTGTTGAATATTCTGTCCCTCTTGACACTAATGTGATTGACAAGATTCAGGATAAACATGGAAAATATGCAGACCTCGCTTTCGAAATGTCACGCTTGCATCCCAAGTGCCAAGTTGTCCGACTCCCCATTGTTCTCGGTGCCTTAGGTTTGGTACCTCCCAATCTGTTAACTGACATTGGGAGAGGACCCGGGTTTGCTACCAGGAATACAGCCCTTCTGACAACCTGGGTAATACAGAAGGCTGCAGTGTTGGGGAGTCTTCACATTCTCCGAAAAGTTCTGGGTGGGTTTGACCAGACAGCGCTTCCTGGGAGAAGTCCCATTCGTTTTTTATGGGCTGCGTGTAGAGGAGGCAAGGGCCCTGAGCTGATGATGGGCCTAACCAGCCCGACTGTGCCAGGATCAGACAAACCATAAGCGTGGCCTTAAATGTTGTAACCACGGTCGAACAACTTTTGAGCAAGAGTTGTACTACAGTATATGAAATCTTCGAAGAAATATCAAGCTCGGTTTTACCCCAGAAGTTGTGAAATGTGGACACCACACGCTGGAATATTTCTTGACATAAAGGGAGAGTTGACTGTTGGAAAGTTGAAGTCATCTCTCTTGTCATAAAGCATTATTAAGAGCAAGGTGTCACTGCGTAAGCCATGATGAAATAACAGTGAAAGTTGGAAAATGAGATCAAAGTGTTGAAATCATTGTTATACCATGACCATTGATAGTATTGTTTTCTTATAGGGGGTTTCAAATTACAATATAATTGTTCAAACGACGTATTTAACATTAAAGGTAAGCAAATACTTTCAAATTTTTTCTGGTTGTATTTGGCACCAAGGTTCATCAGCGTCAGTTCGCTTTCATTTTACAAAGATTGCTGTTGCATTTGATTTTAAAGGAAATGAGTAATATTCCAATAATCTTGTAGCGCTCGGAACTGGTTTCGCTTGAGTGCTGACTCTTCGGTGCTCATCACTCATTCCACACACAAATGTCAGCGAATTATTCCGTGGGAAGAAAGATTGAATGTGGGAGGGAGGGAGAGAGGGAGGGGGAGGTGCTGACAAACTCCCATTATCAGGGCGAATTCACGATCACGGGAACAAGACACGTCTAAGTACGGGATGAAAACCTGAATTGTTGCTCCGTACGTGCCCTCGCCATCTCTCCCCAACATTACATCAGACAACGATGCGCTGTTTAAGTACTTTCACCACCAAACAACGTTGTTAATCCAAATACAAGTTGGGTATAATTCAACATTTAGTCACACTGGTTAATATGCAAATGGTCGGCATTATTGCTGCAGGGCATATTTATTGAGCACTTGAGAAATGCGCAATGGCCAAACTGTGATTAATAGCATTGATAAGGTTAAATGTCCGCGTACAACAGTTTGACTGTAATCAAACACATACAAGACCGACGTAATACGCACATATAACAGTAATTATGTCGGGAACGCTTCTTGTTAACTTAATGGGGGCAGTGCACAGTGTGTTTAACTCCAAGTGCATTGTGTACTTTTTTTCTAAGAGACACCAGGCAATACCCTGTTCTGCAACATGTGTTTCATGGGATTAAAGGTTTCACGCTTGAAAATGTGCATGGGTTATTTCCTCCTCTTGACATAAACGGGCGGTCGGGTAACCTAGTGGTTACAGCGTTCCCTCGTCACGCCCAAGACCCGGGTTCGATTCCCGACATGGGTACAATGTGTGAAGCCCATTTCTGGTGTCCCCCGCCGTGATATTGATGGTATATTGCTAAAAGCGGCGTAAAGCCAAACTCACTCACTCTTGCCATAATGTAATGGAAATGTTTTGTCAATGTAAGCAGTTCAAAGTCATTCAGATACGTTTTACTTTAAATACAGTGAGCAAAAGTAACACTATGTTTACAATTGGATCACATTTCGTTTGATCTCCTACAAAACAGATACCGCATAGCCAGTTGGGAATACTAACGGTCGTTGCATCCTGCTTGTGTCTGATAATATGACCTTACACTAGTGTAATAGCTGACACATTAAGTAACCACGGGGTCACAGGGTAGCTTTGTGGTTAAAGTGCTTGCTCGTCACATCGAAGAACCGGGTTCCTTTCCCGCATTGGTACAATATGTGAATCCGATTCTCTCTCTTCGGTATTCGAATTCGGTAAAATGCTACATAAGACCCAACTCTAGGAGTCACTATTAGAGGCATTTTGCTCTTGCAATAGTTTTACAATAGTTAAATAGTAGGAATACACATCTTGCTATTTTATTTAGATACTATAATGAAAACCTTGGGATTCCCATAGTGTAGGTCCTGATGTCCTTTTATATTTTGGCGGGGGTTCCGGTGGCCCAGTCGTCTAAGGCGCCCCGATTCGCTGTGCAGAGTTGCGTCCCTTTTGGCACGCCAGAAACGAGTGTGGGTTCGAACCCCGGTTCGCTCCGATTATCGTTCTAGGTTTGTCAGCACCATACCTGTGCTCGTGGGTTTCACCGAAGTGGTAAACGTCTGAGACCTGCATCACTTCGGACTTTCCTCCCACATTAAGCTGACACGCCGCGAAAAACTTTAATACTGTTAAAAGCGGCGAAAAAAACAAACTCACTCACTCATATGTTGTCATTATATCCACTATGTTCAAGGATCAGCGGGTCACTGGCAGCCAAGTCGTTTGAGGCAGCTCAATTCGCTGTGACGAGTTGCTTTTTTGGACTCGCCAGAAACCTAGGGTTGTGGGTTCGAATCCTGGTTCGCCCCACTATGTTTCTAGGTTTGTCAGCACCACACCCGTACTCGTGGGTTTCAAGAAAGGTGTAAACATCTGAGACATGCATCAACGTCTTGCTTTCTTCTCACATCAAGCTGACACGTCATGATATAACTGGAATAATGTTAAAAGCGGCGTTAAACCCAACTCACTCACTCATTCACAGTTGTAGTAGGGAGTGTGGTGGCTCTGGTTATATTTCTGATATACATTAATAAACGTAGGCTGAATGAATAAACACCTGTCTCCTCAAACAAGATGCTATGTATGTAATCAATAAAATGGAAATGACCATTTACACCTTATTCTTGTTGCTCCTTCTATCAATATTATCATAATGGAGAGTAGTATCGATGTGAACTGATGACATTTTATCTGGTGATCGATTAATTTCCATCGCCCCTTGAAGACTTACGATACATCGACGAACCGCTATTGCCCCATCAATCTCATTCCATTGTTGGACATTGTAACCAGCGTATGGTTGAGGATATTCTGACAACGTTAATCTTCATCTTCATCTTCCCTCCATATAAACTTCACCGCTATATTGCCCTCGACGCCCAATGGAATCTATTACGGCAGATAATCGGGGCTGATTATTCTCTGGCGCTGACTTTTTATTTAGGACTACAGACAATATTTATGCCAATTCAATTTAATAAACGTGAATCAATATTTTGAACCTGCGCAGTATAAATTATCAAAAGCAGGCGTACTCTGTTATATAAAATCTGGGGTTGTATGTACTGCATTAAGTAATTAAGGTAAAAATACGTTCCTAATTACACGATCATGATGACTGCAGCGAAAACGTTGTTTTTGATATTATTATGGGCCTCCTTTGTTCCGATCAAGACTCAAAACCTATCTTTTCACCAAATCTTTCTTGGAGTATTGAGGCTTTGTGTTTTCCTAGCTGTGTAATGTCTCCTCTTTGTGCGGACTCAAATGAAGCGCTTTTGAGCAGTTCTTCGAACTGGATACCAGCGCTATATAAATCTGTAGTTATTATTATTATTATTATTATTGCCTGCATTTCATTAACAATCTAACAAGTACCATCCTCCAATATCTAAGAGGAAGTTTGAAAATACTTTTCTCCTCGTTGAGACTATCTTGAACTAAAGATAGGAACAATATTGCATACACTGGACTCTGGAGGATAACGTCTTCAACATACAGGCGCATATCGGGATTACCACAGCAACAATCCACAACACCGGTGTGTTGATACCAACTTACTTTGTCTTCATAACATTTGGCATTGAAACACAACTGGGACTGTAACATTGTAAACACCAAAGTACGTTTAGCTGAGGTTTGCAAGCTGTGTTACAGCCCTCTGTTGCTGTGCGTCCACGTGTTGGTGTTCGTGTACAGTACATAGACATCGCTGTCTGTGGAGGCACAACGCGAAGGATTACTGGAATAACAACCTGCGTCTACGGCTTACTTGAGAAAGCAGTGTGCATCTACGTGCTAGATATCTAGATGCTGTTAAGGTAAGGATGTTCAAACATATTGCGTATGAAGAAATCCATGACTACTTGCAGCCATCAATCAGTGACCTCTTTATTTTATTCAATGATGTTGAAATTCAGTTTGCTATTAACTATAGTGTTTTACTATAGAGTTTATTGGGTGAGACAACTGACAACGCCTTTAATCTGGACTGTATATCTGATTAAGATCACCCTTGTCATCTCATTAAGTTGAAACGACAGTTAACATTACATTACATCGAGTATTACTGATCAGAGTATATAAGCAAGATGTTTTATATCTAGTGTCATGTGTAGACACTGGTAGATTCACCTTTGTCAGAGACCGCCTCCGTGGTCTAGTGGTAGAGCGTCCGCCCGGAGAGCGGAAGGTCCAAGGTTCGATCCCGGCCGCGTCATACCAAAAGACGTTAAAAGATGGTACTTGTTGTTACCCTGTCTGGCGCTCGGCATTAAGGGGCTTAAACAAGGACTGGTCGGCTCGGAGTCAGTATACTGTGTCTGAGTGGGGTATTCATGTTAAACTGCGTCATGGTATCTCAGTGTGCTAGCACTATAAATCGGCATCACTCCGGACTAGTACAAGCAGCCACACACACACACGTGCATGAACGTCGCTATATAAGTGTAATAATCCTGGACGCGACGTTAAATCCCATTTCACCTCACCTTTGTCAGACATCTAACATATCACCATATACCTGTTTACTTCGTGACACGTGTATAGCGAGCATTAACACAAACACCACCATCTACCACCCACAACCTACCACCTTATTTATTTCAAATCCTAAATCCACGTTATACCCCGTTCACATGCACAACATTTACTAACGTAAGTAATTTTACACATGTGTGACTATACATTATTGCGTATATGTAAATTTACTTTGTGTTCGCATCTTAGGTGTGTAAATAAAGTATGTAAATTGTGTAAGGCACACATTTTCGTCAGTCTGTTTACGACTTTCAACACAAAACAGGTTGTTTTCCAATCAAAGTTGAATGAGGAGAGAGTTACTTCGCGAAGAATTTCGCGTGAAGCAACATATGTTTGATTTAATTTGTACACAAAGTTTGGACTCCTTGAAACCAAAGGAAAACACCGTCCGCTCAACTCTGTATATATGCATCAAAGTTGGCAACTGTTGACAATTTGTTTGGTGTTGGCAACAGAACAGATATTAATTAGATCATCCTCCTGCGTTGTTATAAACGTTCACATTGTAACATATACACACAGTGCAAATCTATATTTACATTTGCACCTGCTCCAGACACGATGCAAATTTGCTCCTGGTTTAAATATACACACATGAGTAAACGCGTAAACGTATATATTTCTACCCACGTTTGCATATATACGCACATATATATAGAGGCGCATGTGAACGGGGTATTAGACAACTCCAATCTACTCGCAAGCAAGACGGGTCTACATCGTGGTCCGTTCATGTGAAAGGGTCACACCATTCCAACCAACTTTATTCGGTAAATAATGTACAAGAGAAGGGGACAAGAAGTTGACTGGAAGTTTAGATTTAAACCATGTCGTATCTTGTATTGATATATTTTAACTCGTCCGTGTAAAACAATGAAAACAGTGAAACAATTCAAAGAGTTACCCTACCTACTTAGAAATAACGATCCCGATTTGTCTGGACAATTAAACTGTCTCAAAATTGTTTATTCTGTTCCACAATTGAGGTTCGGCGAATCCTTTACTCTATAAACAAAAAAACAAAAGCCTTCAGGAATTCTCGTCCTACCTGCCAGATCTTCGACGTCATTTGCATTGTTAATTTAAGCAAAACACGTGGCAGCTCTTGGTGTACTCTATTATAAATAAGGATGGCAAATTTAGCACCAGGTTTCACAAAATGCATGCCATGTAATATAAACAGGAAGTCGGAGCTCCCCATCATTAACTCTCCGTGCCCTGTCGATCTCACGAGAAGAAACCCGTGAAAATCCGCGTTGGAATTGGTCTTCAGCAACCCATGCTTGCCGTAATTTTTAGACGACTAACGGCCAGGTCCGCTTACTTGGTTGATGCATGTCATCGTATCCCAATTGCGTGACTTGATGCTCATACAGCCGTCATATAGCTGGAATATTGCTGAGTGCGGCGTTAAACAACAAACAAACAAACACTAGAACAACTCATTTATTCCTTGTCCCACGACAAGATCAACGTTTAAGCTTCTTGGGAGAAGTTTGTCACTTCGACTACCGAGAACTGAACAGCTTCAGAACACTTTTATTTTCCGCAGATCAATTCTAGACAAGAGACAAGTAGTTTTAGCAGTATGCTTAACTTCACATAGGGATATCAAACTGATTCTGCTTACAAATGTTACTCCGTGTATTTGTGCAATATTGGCTATCGCCTATGGCTAAAGCGTAACCATGACCAGTAACGTTGTGTAAAAGATGGATTTGAAATACCAAATGCTCGGTAACATAGCGCTTGTAAAGTAGGCATAAATCACACATCATCTGTGTAAGTGTTTCGTGATGCCCATAAGAAGTGCGTCAGAAAAATCTGCTCAAAGTCCATGGTACGAATCCAACTATATCATAAGCATGTGGCCCTTGAACATCCGGGGTAGAATAGGTCTTCAGCAACCCACGATTGCCTTAAGAGGCGGCCGTGCTTGTTTTAAGAGGCGATTAACGGGATCGGGTAGCCATGCTCGCTGACTTGGTTGATGCATGTCAACGTATCCCAATATCGTAGATCGAGGCTGGATCAATGATCAGTGGATTGTCTGGTCCAGACTCGAATATTTACAGACCGCCTCATATCGCTGGAATATTGCTGCGGCGTTAAACAAAAACATTAGCATATGGTTATGAATCACTATCACATATTGATGATACCATATGATCTAAAAAAGATGAGCGTATTCCGCCCCATCTGTAGCATCTGTCACAAACACATACAAAGGCAAGTCAAATATAAACAAGCTCTGGAACATATGAAACAAGACAAAATAGGGCATTACATTGGACATCATTGTAGTCACAATTCGTCAAATTTGGTAATGCTCTCCACGTGTCCACCGTAAAACGTTGGAAACCCTGGAATGTTTTTACCCTGATGAAAGATTTTTATAGCAAAATTCGTAGGAAGAGCTGGCTCGAGTGTACCCCAAAAGTTGACACCAACGTCTGGAGCTGGTGAATAGTGCTCGATATAAAGATAAAATTGACTATTGGAAAGTTGAAGTCTTCCCGCTTGTCAAACAGGATGTTACAGTCTGCAACACCACGTTATTTGCATAACGATTTCAGTGTTTGTCTCATGTGATGTGCCATGTGAATACATTAATATACTATTCTATCCTTTTGCAGCCGGTGACAGATGGTATTGCAACAGAACATTGGACTAACAGCTGTAAAGACCATCCCCTACAGAACCCGCAGTCGTCGATACAGCGCTAACAGTCTAACTACAATATGTTTCAGACAGTATTCTCAACAATTAATTCCAGGCAATAAATAAGAGGCCAGAAATTCAGGAATCCAGAAAAGTCAATGTTGAAAGTGCTATTGTAGTTCTTATGTATGCGACGATAATACCGTGTGAGAACGCTGTGCGCGGTATATAGATTACTGTGTGAAAGTAGAATTTAGCCGACCATTCTGCAGCGGCTATTTGTATGTACATAGAACTCGTGATTGATTATTTAGACTGTGATACAGTGGAGGTGACTCGCACAGTGCAGAGGCGCGGCGTTTCTTGGGCAAGTTCTCTGGACGAACTGAACACGGACTGTTCCTGTATATTTGGAGGATTTACTTCATAATCGATAGACATTTTGCAGGACTACGGAGGATCGGCTGTACTGCTTTCACACAGCTTCACATCGCAATGGCGTTCTTCCTACGTGCTATGTTCCTCAGGAAGAAGCGGGGTTCTTCCAAGAACCCTGTGCCTTCTGTTGAAGTCGAATTACCTCAAGGTAAGTTTAACACGTGGATCTTACAAGATGAGTGAATCATTAAAAGTTTAACGTAACGTAGGCATTATCTCAGTCATGTGGTGACGGTTGTCATCAAGTGTCATACTTTGTATGACTTGTCGACATGAATGTGGTTATGAGGTAGCAGTTACCATCTGTTCACACAAATGTATTGATTACATGAAGATATGTCACATATTAGGTTGACAAATACTGGTGGAGCAACATAAAACCACAATACTGGTGAAGCCATATTGATACCATGCTAACGTGCAACCATATACATTTACAGCTACAAAGCAGTACCCACCTGTTGTAACCATATGGAAATTTAAAACGTCAATGCAGGGAACGATGTTATGATTTTCTGCCGAAACAGATTCCATAAAGTGTTAAGGGCAAATTAGTGATTGTAATTATATGAATGGGTCACTGAAAATCAGTTGTTCTCGAAAATGGTAATCACAATTTGCATAAAAAAGGAAGTGTTTGTTTATTGCATGACATTAACATTGCGACAATACTGAATGGCATTACATGTGTAATCATATGGTAACATAATTACAGGTGCAATTGGGAAGAAATCACAGCACAGGTGCAACCTTTCTGAAACGATGTTATATGTCCAAACATATGGAGACGGTATTACAGCTGCAACCATATTGAAAGAGTATTATAAGTGCAACCATATTGAAACAGCATTTCAAGTGCAACCATAATGAAACAGTATCACAAGTGCAACCACATTTAAACAGTATTGCCAGTGCACCAGTATGGAAACAGTGTTAGACGTGCAATCATATTGAAACAGCATTACAAGTGCAACCATAATGAAACAGTATCACAAGTGCAAACATATTTAAACAACATTGCCAGTGCACTAATATGGAAACAGTGTTATATGTGCAATCATATTGAAAAAGCATTACAAGTGCAACCATAATGAAACAGTATCACAAGTGCAACCACATTTAAACAGTATTGCCAGCGCACCATGGAAACAGTGTTAGACGAGCAATCATATTGAAACAGCATTACAAGAGCAACCATAATGAAACAGCATTACAAGTGTCACCAGTATGGAAACAGTGTTAGACGTGCAATCATATTGAAACAGCTCTACAAGTGCAACCATAATGAACCAGTGTCACAAGTGCAACCATATTTAAACAGTATTGCCAGTGCACCAATATGGAAACAGTGTTAGACGTACAACCATATGGAAACCACTATAACAGCACCAATCACTTTTTATTGTGAGTATGGGTTACATAGGGGAGGCTTTCAGGCTCTGAAATTCAGATTGATTTAAATGGAGTTCTTAAACTGTTTTCCTTCGTGGGCAGATTTGAATGAGCAATGATTATTTCAGAATCGTCCATGGAATGCATTCTTGGTGAAGGCGAATTAAGTGAGACCGTATTTACATACATATTTTTTATAGTTATGCAGCCAACATGACCTACATGTAAATATTGACATAATTACACGGTATAAGTGACAGCATATACATGCATATACTCGTAATTTGATATGGTCTTACTCTATCACAGCACGTTTCGTTCAACGAGCTTAAGTAGGATCCACATGTGAGTCCTGTTTCCACATATAGTCCGAAACAACACTTGAGTAAGTGATTGAGTATGGTTTTACGCCGCTTTTAGCAATATTCCAGCAATATCACGGCGGAGGACACCAGAAATGGGCTTCACACTTTGTAAGTGGGCAAGGGAGCGTGACTTCAGAACGCAAATAACCACTAGGCTACCCAATGTCGGAAATCGAACCCGGGTATTCAGCTTGACCAGCGAACGCTTTAACCACTAGGCTACCCGACCGCCCCTACAACACTAGAACTCACACATTGAAGGCATTACTGTTATGCTAACCCATCAACGGATATCAAAACATATGTATCTGGTATTATATTTAAGTGGCAGTTTAGAAGTTGCAGCTTCAATATAGACACAGTAGACGTCCTTGATAAAGGTACCCTAGATCCCGTGCTGAAACGTCGGATCAAATATCTGGAACACATCTTCAGGTTTTACGAAGTATTGCGGTAGGTTCAAACATTACCTATACTTACATGTATGAACAAGTTCTTATAAATTAAGGGGCGGTCGGGTAGCCTAGTGGTTAAAGCGTTCGCTCGTCACGCCGATACCCGGGTTCGATTTCCGACATGGGTACAATGTCTGAAGCCCATTTCTGGTGTCCCCCGCCGTGATATTGCTGGAATATTGCTAAAAGCGGCGTAAAACCATACTCACTCACTCACTCACTCTTATAAATTAAATCTCCTGCGTTTACACATAAATCTGTCACAATATAGTTACGTATATTTTTGTGTTCATACACTGACACAAATAGAATACTTATGACTATGTGTGCTTTTCTGAGAACTGACAAAAACAGCAAACATGTGCATAACCGATTGAACGTGGATCGTTTTCTCTCTGGTAATAAAGACCTCCCAATATACATGACATCGGTATGCAGTTTATGTACACGATGAGATTGGAGAAGTATTTGACACTGGAAGATGCTGGCTCCACTGTAAGGGTAGCTCTGAAACATAGACAAGTACAGAAATGTGAGCAGCCTTAGAAATTGGTCTTCCCTTCAAATCCCACGGTCATAACCTTTTGACATAGTCAAGCTGATGTCTGTGGATGTTTCGATAATCAGTCAGGCTCATTGGGAGATGAATCCTATTTCTGGGTCCTGTAAGGGCACCAACGATTACCTAAAACTAACAATGTGTGTAGTAGAGAGCAGATAGTGTACATATACCACAGTGTGTCGTGTGTTAACACATGCTGAATACTGAGACGATTTCTACCTTCATGTCAAATGAGGTGAAATGGGGTGCAAGGTGGCGTTCAAGATTATTTCACTTGTACAAGTGTGTCTTCTTGTACTAGTCCAAGAGTTTAACATGTATACCCCATTCACACATAGTATACTGACTTCGAGCGGACCAGTCCTTGTTTTTGTCCCTTAATGCCGAGCGCCAGGAAGGGTAACAACAAGTACCATCTTCTTACGTCTTTTGGTAGGGCATCGAACCACCGACTGTCCGCTCTTCCATTCTTGTAGACGCTCTCTCCTTACTCAAGTTAATCGCTAATAAATGGCTCCTTGTCTGAGTAAATATTTAGGGAAGACTGCTTTATCAAACTGCATCTACACGGGTACGCTTTCCCCTCGTGTTAACAGTGAATGAGCGAGAGTTATTTTAACTGTTCGAGACATATATACTGGCAACTTTTCAAATGCATCCAAACTAGTTAGGAATATGTGTACACAATACGAGCTGAGTGTTAGCAGATCTAGCAACCAGTTCCAAATTGACGCATTACATGAAAATAATGTTATCAACGTTAGACATGCCATCATTAAAAGCTCATTCGTTTTGTCTGCTTTTGGATTTACATATTTGTAACTGTTCAGAATGAGTTTACTGATCTACGGGGTGAAAATGTCTTTACTCACATGGATTCCCAAACAAATACACTTTTTAATCTTTGGACTACCGTCCCGTCAACACTCATGAGTTTCCCTGTGCTCTTGAATGCTTCGTTACAAAAAGAAAATAGACAAATACTTCTAAAAGCACCCATCACATTATTCTTAGGGGAGAAAAGCGCCAAGTCTGCCTCTAGACTATGAAGTCTGAGAAATATCACACAAAGAATTGTCTAGCTTCTGTTGTAGCTTTTGAATGTTGTCTTGGCAAAACTATGAAAGCGTAATAATGTATTACTTAACCTTTTAAAGCTGAAGTCATACACGTATACACTTATATCAGCCTGCACTCCAGTACAAATGTAAGATGGTACATAGATTATGATTCTCCGAACAATTTTCAACTCCCGTGTAATGTTGTTCCATGATGCTATCACATACTTACACATGTACATGTACTTATTGGGGCGGTCGGGTAGCCAAGTGGTTAAAGCGTTCGCTCGTCACGCCGAAGACCAGGGTTCGATTCCCGACATGGGTACAATGTGTGAAGCCCATTTCTGGTGTCCCCCGACGTGATATTGCTGGAATATTGCTAAAAGCGGCGTAAAACCATACTCACTCACTCACTCACTCACATGTACTTATTAATGTCTCCTTAATTAATGTGATTATCTTTTCATTAAGGGGTACTTATATCTATTTTTTTAGATGGGTTTTCTTCTAATACCTAATTACTGACATTATTCAAGCTTATCAAAGTTATTTTTTAATAATATTGTTATCATGTTAAAACTGCATTAAATTTTATATACATTAACACGAACAGAAAGCACCTTTGTCCCAACGGTTAATGCTTACAAACTTTGACAATACAATTTCTCAATCTTCCAAAGGTGATGTTATAACGATGCCTAATCTTCAATGTAAATAATTATTATCTAATAAAAATAGAGAAACGATAAACGTCATGTTAAGGATGGTTTTATCTAAGTAAGTGTTATCAATGTTCCAGAACGTGCTATTAGCTCTACTAATACCCACATTATGTATGTTAACATTAACACGAATATAACTTGCAGGGTCAATGTGCATATAATGCCTGAGACTTTGAACATTAAACAGTCGAACATCAACGAGAACTTTAACCTAACGAAGGCAAAAGAGAGAGATACGACGTTATAATAGAAATGGAGATCAATTCAGCGCGATATTAGGACATTTGGTAAGCCACAATGAAGCACTTTTTTCTGGTAATGGGTCTGTAAATGTTAATGGTCAAATAAAGCAGCATGCATAATGCATTGGCACATAAAGCGGCTTATTCCGAGGGTGATACTTCTAAATTAGCTACGCATTATCCTCAAAAGATGGTGGCCGGAGAGGAAGGTCCAAGGTTCGATCCCCGGCCGCGTCATACCAAAAGACGTTAAAAGATGGTACTTGTTGTTACCCTGTTTGGCGCTCGGCATTAAGGGGCTAAAACATGGACTGGTCGGCTCGGAGTCAGTATACTGTGTCTGAGTGGG